GCGAAGCTACAAAGGCAAGCGTTCTACACCACTGGTTTACACGTGTTGGGGGAGACGAGCAGTACATGCGCACCAGCGTACAATGGTGCCTAATAGAAAAGCGCACAGCACACGCAACTCGGTAGGAGAGCGCCTATTTAACGTTATACAACCCGACGTAACGCACCCATTGCCAAAAGGATTCATAAAGATCCAAAAGGATTGTCCTCTACAAGACAGTAACGCCGTAATAACACTTATTAAGAATTAGCAGCTATTCATGTGACACCCATCGTAAAATTAACCACTTGTATGTTAAGAGTGTGCTTGATTGTTTGTCCGTCTTAGTTAATAAAGACCGTTATAGTTATGCAAATGTATGTTGAGTAAGAAAATATATATATATATATATATATATACGTGTGTTTTCCTCTGCTTTCGTGCGTAACTTTTCGTGTTTTTTTCGTGCTTTTCTGCATAACATGCTTATAACTCACATTAATTTGTCCATTACAGAAGCATGCAGGTTGCCACTGCGTTCGACAGCATCAAGCTGCGCGACAAGACGAAGCTGGAGCAGACGGTCGAGGTGTCGTCGGCCGACAGTCAGGCGATGACGCTGCCGATCCGCCCCGCCTTCCATCTCTACCCGGCCGCCGACGTCAGCAGCTTCACGGGCGGCGCGCTAGGTGGGCTCTCGCCGTACTCTCGCTTCCCTATGGCGCACCACGTGCGCGCTGCTGCCTACTATCACGGCTACCCGAGCGTGCTGCCCGACCTGCCGTCCCCCGGCGTCACCGCGGCGTGTCACGTCACCGCGTTGCCGCAGCGCAAGCGGCGGCCGTCGGCGGAGGCGGAAGGCCACCACGGCGAGCGCAAGGTGAAGGCCGTGCCCGAGGAGAAGAAGGACGAGTCGTACTGGGAGCGGCGGAGGAAAAACAACGAGGCGGCGAAGCGGTCGCGCGACATGCGGCGACGCAAGGAGGACGAGATCGGGATGCGAGCTGCGCTGCTCGAGCAGGAGAACCTGAAGCTGCGGACGCAGATCGCCGTACTCAAGAACGAGATGAGCAAGCTGCAGTACATGCTGTTCAACCACGCCATGTGAGCGAGCGAACTCCCAACATGTTCAACTTGCATCTATGGCAAATACGACATACGCATATACGCTCTCCTATATGACACTATTTGTCATATAGGTAGATTCTTCCTATAACAAATATTGACGAGTTAACTTCGTTCCGCCTTACAGGTGAAATTCACTGCTTGCGTTCATAATAGCGCTCCTAAACTCCTATGATGCGCACAACACATACAACAATATTTGTCAAAGGAAGAATCTTCCTATGACAAATAGTGTCATAGGAGAGCGTATAATGCGTATATATGTCGTATTAAATTTTGTCATAGATGCAAGCAGAACAGGCTGAAACCCCAATGATGCAATGATGCAATGATGTAAGGCGCACGATCATCTTTCGTGAAAACGATAATGGGAAGAAACGAAACTTTATCGGGCAGGATTGATCAGCACCTACTGTAATCGAACAAAATGATCGAACAGTAACATCAAACAGGATCTTAATCGAACAAGATTATCTGAATTCAACAGGATCATGGGAATAACGGATAGGATAACGTTCCGAAATCGCCGGGTAGTGTACGCTAGTAGTCGACGCTATATATATATATATATATAGGTCCCGCTGCAAATATACGGGCGCCAGCACGGGTTGTGTGTAAAATTAACATTTTCAGAAATACTTGAAAAGAACGTAATACAATTGACGAGTTTGTGTCTCCCCGTGGAAGTACACGGGCGCGTTCACGAGTGAGTAAAAAGAGTGCGCCCGCGCGCGCGCGCGCGCGCGTGTGTGTGTGTGTGTGTGTGTGTGTGTGTGTGTGTGT